GTTCTGTGTCATGCTGGTACTACACAGGGGGTCTATCAACAAAGGCCTAGACCACATTCAGAAGTGAAGGAACAGCAACGATAATCCCCTAAATGTAGTTATTTGGGGAAGAAAAACCCAAACTTTCCCTATATAGATTGACTTGTAACTAGCCAATCAGACTTTACCAAGCCTATAACTTCTATATTCCTGTTTCCATAAAACCAGTCTTAGCCCCTATAATGGGGAGACAGATTTGAGCTTTGCTTCCTGTCTCCTTGCAATAAACTCTGTTGTCCTCACATTCTATTCCCTCAGAAGCCACTGCTATACTGTTTTAATGTGTGTTGCTCGGTATCCCTATGTTGAGGTATAAGGGAAAATTTCCCCACCCCTCTAGGTACTTCTTGGGCTGATTGAGTACTCAAAGCAGCATCAGACTGGTAGGCAGAGGAAAAGGACCACATTGCTAATGAAACTAGGCATAGAGGTCCTCGGACTTCCTCTTAACCTTCACTCTACATAACCACTGTGGAAGAACCTAAACATCACCAGAATCTGGCTTCTACACCTGATTTCCCTACATCAGATTTCATGTTAAAATATCATTGTTTATCACTTGTATGGGCTTTAGAAACCCAAACACTAATACATTACCACTTTGTGTGTCTTTATGAAATGTGGGCAACACTTGGAGCTAATATGCCTTGGTAGGCATGAATTGTGGTCATGAACCCCAGGTGTCGGGCTGGGTGATGGGGTGTGTAAACTGATCACCACAGCCAACATTGTCTATTAAAACATGGGTCTAAGATCTTTTCTTGGAAAGGAGGAAGTGTGTGTATGTACATATGCCTGCAGATGTGAGTGTTAAATTATAAACTCCCTCCCCCCCCAAAAAAAAAAGTTATAGCAAGAGGCTTCATGTGCAAATAGAAGACATGAAAAAAATTGTTAGAAGCTGTCTTGCATTTAAGGGACTGCCATGTGCTCTGTAGAGTAATGCATCTCAACTCAATCTGTCACCAGGGCTCAAGTCACTAACTTGTCTTGGATGACCAGGGACATTCCTGGTATTAGCATTGAAAGTTCCAAGTTCCGGGAAACCTCCTCTGTCCTTGGAAAGTTGGGATAGTTAGTCATCTTACCAGGATGCTTTTAAAAATCCTAATAGCCAAACCAACCCTCTAATGAACTGCATCGGGCTGCATAGGTGATTGCAGGCATAGCCAGTGAAGCTGCTCAAAAAAAGATCACTTCAAGATACTCAGAGCTGTCCACCCCAAGATTCTCAGAGTTGGTCTCCTCAAGATGCTCTGCTGTGGCATGCACGTTATCACGAGTTGAGAACAATGAAGGCCCTGTAGATAAGGAGAAGCTTTTGCCCTTCCACTATTCAAAGAAGCATTTTCCATGGTTTCTCTTCACAATGGGCATTCAAAAATGTTCAAGGTTAGGATATATGATTCTCAGACTCAAGCCCACTCCCTCCAATTTATTTTACTTAAAAAAAAAAGGCTTTATTATTTAGAACAATTTTAGATTAAAAAAAACAAAACTAAGAAGATAGCACAGAGTTTCCATATGTCCTGTGCTCACTTTATCCATATATTGAGTCTGGTACATTTGTTACAATTAACGAACCATGACTGATACATTTTTATTAATTTAAGTCCATGCTTTATTCATAAAACCTTACTGTCCAGTTCTGTCCTAGGATCCCATATTACATTTAGTAGTTGTTTTTCCTTAAGTGCCTTTTGGTTGTAATAGTTAAGTCACCCCTTTTATAACAGTTATTTTGTATTATTCATTATTTTGACCATGAAATATAATTAATACACAGTGCTAACACACACAGTTTAAACATCCAAATAATGACTTAATTATAATGGAGTAAAAGTAAATATTTAACAAGTATTTGTTATTCTAAATGCTCTGTCAGAACTGCATCTGAGATCATAAGAAAGTAGTCAGATATTTGTACCTACTTGTGATTTAAAAATAGTAAGGCAAGAATATGGAATATCCCCCCCCCCCCAAATAATCACACAGGGCAAACAGGACAATAATTACCTCAAACTGGAGGAGACAAAGAAACTTGAACAATAAGCACCCTGGCACAATCATCAGGGAAGACACTTTTTCTTTTCTTTTTAATATTTTGAAATAAATGTATTCTTATCTTCATATGAAATTCCTGGGCCTGTGGCATTTCTGCATGAGACAGGTGCGGATGTATTGATTTCTGACTCAGAAGACATGAGTGGAACTGGCTTCAGTGTCCAGACTTTCCAAAGCAGTGAACAAAGTAGACCCTTTCCTAGTTGCAGTTAGAAGAGCATTCAGTGTGGTATAAACATATTTTGTGTTTATATGTAAAACAGAGTTAGGGTTCTCATCTAACTAGAAGCACACTTTAACAACCCCAGATGTCTAGTCTGACTTTTGAAAACTATGTTGGGACACAAACCATCTTCACTGAACTGGAACCTCTTGCATATTCCGGACCTCTTGCATGGTTGGCCACCCCCCACTGAATGCCAGGGGCTCCCTCCACCCATCACTGATAACCAACTAAAACACCTGCAGATTTCTAAAATGCCCCCTAGGGGGCAGTACCACAGTAGGCTGTGGTGGTAAAGCCCAAGACACTTGCCTTGATTTCTTCCTTTGTCAAATGAAGATAGTAGTAGCTGTGTGACAAAGACAACAGTGCAAAAACGCTTAGCAAGGTGCCAGGCCCACAGTATATTCTCCAAGAATGTAAGATAATACCATCTCCTGGTCAGTCAGCTTGTTTGGGGAATGCTATGCCCTTGACATTCAGATGAATGACTTTGAGTAAAGATGAGGGCATCAGGGAAGCACCACAATCCCTGCCTCACACATGAAATAAGCAGTGAATTATTAAACACTTGGAGTTCACAAAAAGGAGCGCCCAGGGGGAGCTGGAGTCAGAGAAATCTTTCTGGAGGAGACAAGAATGGCTTATTGAACCAGGGCAGCTGGGACTTGAAGGAAAAATATATTTATCCCATGAATAATGAATAACTCCTAGATCTTTACTTCTCAAAATGTGGTCTTCAGACCAGCAGTGTCAGCAGCACCTGGAGGTTTGTTTGAAATGTCAGCCTCTACACCACACCTACAGAGCTAAAATCTGCATTTAACAAGAATCACGGGTGTTCATTTGCACACTCACATTTGAGATGCTGCACTAGAGAACCAATTGAGAAACCTGAGGAAATAACAATGGCCTTTGCTCCTTTGAGAGTACACAGATCTTGGGGGAGGGTGTGGTGGTATTCAAATATAGATTCCCAGCCAGACCCCAGATCTACTAAATCAGAATCTTGAAGCAACAAGGAATCTGCATTTAAATAAACAGATAAATGTATAAATGACTCCTAGAGGATACTTAGAATGGGAAGGGACCTTAAAAAAAAAAACCATGTCAGGGTCCCAGATGATGCCAATTTCATCACCTTTGATATCAGTCTCTAGCAATCGTGGTTATTTTGTATTGTAAACTCCCCCAGGTGATTCTAATATTTGAGAACCCTCGACAGAGGAATCAAGTGGGAAAACCTAGAGGAGAAATGTCTGCATGTGAGGGGCGGAGGGAAGGGGGGATGTCTGAGAATAATCCCCAGCATCTACCTCAGAGGATAGCACCGGACTGTGGGTGGGTAGTTTTCATTGTTCTTTATTTAAATGATTGCGGATTTTCTTTCTTCCTACTTTCTTTCCCGTTTCCCGTCTTCACTGCCTATCCTGCAAGAAGGGGCCTTTGAAATGACCTAACCCAGCTCATTCAGTTTGTAGTTAAAGAAATTACTGGTCAAAAAGATCAGTCCAGACCTCGTTTCTACCCCACTAGACAAAATAGAACGAGAGGCTCTTCCAGGTCTTGTGTTTTCGCTGCATTTCAAATCCCGCTCTGCTTTTTTGATCACAGGCAAGACGAGGAGAAAGGAAACTGGCTTCCTCTTCAAAAACACAGCTCCCCCAAGTACGTGGACTTTAAATTAGTAATTGGAATTTTAGAGGGCTTAGATTTAAATGTAGAGACTGGTCTCCTTCTAAAGGTGAAATCTAGACTCGAAGTTGCATGTTCTATGTCCAGTCCTCTGCACCTTTCCGAGAGGCCACGGGCCCGACGTGGACCAGGTCGCGGCCTTGATCCCGAGACGCCCCTGAGGGTGGGAGGGTGCGCGCTTCGGGCGGCTTTAGGCCGCGGCTCTGCGGGCCGCACCGGGAAACCCGGCGAGGCTTATTTTATAAAGGGTGGCTTCCATCCAAGTCCTGAAGGATGGGAAGACTCCAATACTCAGAGCAGACTTAGTGGGGCAGAAGCCCAGGGATGGTCGCAATGGAGGAGCCTTGGGCTGCAAATCTTCCTGAGAGGCCCGTGGTCTGAAAAGGCCTCCCGCCCCTTTAAGTTGAGCGGGCAATTAAAGCTCCTGGCAGGCCCGAGGCGGACGGCCTGGGGGCAGGTGAACCTCGCCTTCCTGGGGCGCGCGGTGAGGATGGCGTCCCAGGAGGAAACGCGCCCCAACCTCTGAAACCCACACCCCTCCAGGAGAAAAAGGTACCAAATTAGGGCGCCGACTTCCCGGACGGCAGATTCGGTCGAGGAGGCTCCCTCTGGGCACCACCCCGCGGGCGGGTGGGGCAGGTTCTCCGCCAGCCCCTCGCCGGGCCCTCTCCCCGCGACAGCGGGTCCCCTCGCCCCGAAAGTCTTTCGAGCTTCCACGGGGCTGGCCCCGCGCGGTCCCCCTCAGCCGGCCTCGGGGCGCGGGCTCCCGCGCTGGGGCCTCGGGGCGGGTCCCCGCCGCCCGCACCTGCCTCGGGGGCGGAGCGCGCAGCGACAGGGCGGCTCGAGCCTCCGCCACCAGCGCGCCTCGGCGGCTCCCCGACACCCCCCCGCACCCCGCGCACCTCCACTCCTCGGCGCCCGCCCTCTCCTCTCCGCGCAGTCCGTCCGTCCCTCCGCGGGCCCCGAGCCGCGGCGCCTCGCACTTCTGCCCCGAGTCCCCGCCGCGCTGGTCGCCGCCTCCCGGATCCACCGCCCCGCGCCATGGAGCCGGCCGCGGGCAGCGAGCGCCGCAGCCCCACGGGCCCCGCCGTCCCGCCGCCGCCGCCCCGGGGCCCCCCGCCCTTGGCCGCCACCCCCGGCCCGGGCCAGCTGGGCTCCCCAGCGCGGGAGCCGCCGCAATCCGAGGAGGGGCGGCAGCTGCGGATCAGCGAGAGCGGCCAGTTCAGCGACGGGCTGGAGGACCGAGGTGAGCGCGCCGTCCCGGGCTCTGCGCGCGGCGGGGAGAAGAGGACTCGTGGCCGCCGGCCGCCCATTCCCCGGGGGCGCCTCGGAGCCGCGAGGGCGCGGAGCCGGCACTTCCCCGCCAGGGCGAGGGCGCCGGGGGCCGCAGCCCCACCTCCCGCAGCCGGCGCCGCCCGAGCCCCGGCTCCTGCCCCGGAACCCGAGCGCGGCTGCCTCGCAGCCCAGCCGCCTCACGCCCGCCTTTCCGCCAGCCCCTTCGGCGCCCCTGGAAAAGTTTGCGGGGGGCGGTTTTTCTTTTCCTTTTTTTTGGCTGTCGGAGCCGAGCGCTCCCGGGGGACTGCGGGCTCTCCTAAGCTCCCGGAGCACTGTGCTCGGTGCGTCTTTGCTCCCAAGCCCTCCCGACCCCCGGCGGCTCACCCCGAGAACTTCCCTGTGCGGGTTTAGACTGGGGAGTCCCTTGCGGGCCGCCGGGCTGCCAGATCCGGCACGGGGCGAACCGAGGCGCGCAGGGTGGCCCCGACCTACTCACAGGGGACCCAGTTCGCCGTGGGCCGCTGCTCCGTTATAGGTGTTGGGGGCGGAGGACTGGTTCCAGGGATTCGGGCCACCAACCTCGTCGCGGTGGATGCCGCTGGAGCCTGGTGGTTCCTGGAGCGCGCGTGTCCCCATCTTCAGAATCCCTTCCAACACACTGGCCTGGAACCCAGAAAACCCTTTTCTCCTGGGAGGCCAAACCCTACCTTCCCGCCGACAGCCCTTATAACCCGTTTGAGTAGCCGGCAGGAAGCAGGAGAGAGCCCCTTCTTCGTTCCCGGGTCTTTCTCTCCTTTTATTTCTCCTTCCTCGCCTCCCTTGTTTTCTCTGGCTCAGCGGCTGGAGCCCTGTTAATGAATGGCCACGTCTATACCTTTCCTGCTTCTTGCTGAAACCAAAATTGTGGGCCTCCTGAAAAAATGACTCAGTGGTCCTGCTAAAACCAGCTGGTGACCGAAGCGGGGTTCTTGCAGCCAGGCCTAACGGTGGGGAGCCGGCTTTTTGCCACCTCCACCCCCTTTTCTTGGAAGCCTTATTTTCTTGGTCGTGGCGGATTTATATATTTTAGTCTTAGCAGGTTTCTATCCTATTCTTAGTATCTTCTGTACATTTTTATTATGGTTTAGTGTTCGCAGACACGATCTCTTTCCTCTTAGAAAATGTAAAATGTAGCATGTGGAATGGAAAGGCATGGAAACGACAATTTTTACAGAATCGGCAGGGATGCTCTGTGAGACCTGGAGCCGCTCCAGTTGCAAGGAGTTCTGCACCTATGTTGCAGTTTCTCCTCCTTTTCTCACATTAATAGATAGCATTTTGGGCTAATGATTGGTGCCATCACAAGCATCCAGCAAAACCTATTCGTTTTATTGTAGATAGTATTAATTACCGTTCACTCTGCAACTAATAATGAAGGATTAAAATTTTTTGTGTTGAAGAAAAACCTCAGGGCTGAGCTTAATTTTGTAGCATTGCAGGTCATCTGTCAAAGTAGCCCATTTCTCCCCACCCTACTGAGTGATAGGAGGGAAAGAAGTGCCAGGGTGAGTTAATATTTAGCATCATCTCCTAGTCATGCTCAAGTGTAAAAAAGCCCTTCTGAATTTATTCTTAAGGTTATTTTCCACTGGTCAACTGAATTTCATTTTCCATTATATTATAGCATGAAAGCACTCACTGTTTATAAACGGTGACAGTGTGAAGCCCTGCATGCCAAACACAGCCTTTCTGTTAGGATGAACCCTATCCCTCAAGAATCCAGTGCCAGGTGGCATTGAAGGCTGAAAGTCAGTGTGACATTCTTTTGTTTGGTCTGTTCCTGAGAGCAAAAAGTTAATAATCGAGTCATTTTAATTAAATAAATGCAAAGGTTACCTGGGGAGGTTTATTATATTTTGTATTTCTGTTTTTTGGGGGAGGGGCTTCTGGGGGTTGGGCAACATCTTTCCATTATCAATTTTTTGTGTCCCTTGAGTTGATTCTGTTGCTGCTACCTTTGCCCCACTGGTGAGAGAATTTAGAGAAGGAGGAAACCTCAGCAGTAGGTGCTGTGCATCACTCCATCATGCCTGGCTCTCCCTTTTAGGACTGAATACCTATAAGGGTGTGCGGGAGTGGATATCTGGTTATGTACCAGTATTTGGTCTTCTCTTTTGTTCTATATTTCTTCTGAGCTATCAGTACTCTATTACAGACTGCACCTCACTCTAGTCAAAGGGTTGCCTTATAATTTCAAAATGTTTTGGAAGTTTGGAGATACATATTTTCCCCTTAGAAGTGATATAGGCTAGTTCCCTGAAACCTTGCTAGCTCATAATGTCAGTAACTGAAGTGCCATTTGACTGAGTCTTGATGTTCAGGGAGCGAGAGCTCTGTGATCTAAGACCTTTAGAAACTAAATACAAAAATAAGACAAGTTTGTCTTAGGTGTTTCCACCCCCACCCTTTTTTTAATACCTGTGCATCTCTCTAAAATGTTTCCCTACCATTCTACCACAAGCCACAGAGCCTAGCCTAGCCTTAGAACATCGCAAACTTTTGCATATTCCTTCCAATCTAATAGTCTCATTTCTTGAGAGAATCCTAGAGTAGCCCATAGGAGAAGCAGTTGGAACTATTTCACAATAGCATGAAAATTACTGATAATTTGTCTCCCTACATGATCTTGTATCCACTTCCCTTCAAATAGTAAGGCATCAGTCCTTCATCAATACAACCCTTATGCCTGCGAGGCCCAAATTATAAATATGTGAAATTGGAAATTTAAAGGAGAGGTCAATGATAGGTAGAAAGGACTCAGCCCTGCATGCAAATCTGAGTCCTATTTTAGCTTGTCTAGACTGCTGCCTTTGTCTAACTTTGAAACCCAGTTTCAAATTATTTCACTGTAGGCATTTCAATCCTTTCTCCATGGCTTGTAAGTGTGCATGCAGCCAGCACAAGGTTGCAGATGGAGGCAGCTGTATGTGGGCCAGTTACTTATGAACTCAGTTTTTGTTGGTTATTGTACTCCACTTCCCTTTGAGGAATGGAAAAATTTTCATTCTTGGTATCACCTATAATTTTAGAAAGGAAAACCTTTAAGAAAATAAGCAAAGCTGGATAGAATTGGGAAATTGAGCCTTTCTTGGGTAATCTTTCATAGCATTTACTCCATTTTTAAAATTTAAAACACAGGGTCAGACCTGGAGAAAACCACCAGTCCTGCTACCGAGAGGACCCATGAGCCATCTTATTAACAGGGCTGTCCAACCCGTGTGGACTGTTGTCTAAAATTCTCTTTGGGATACTGGCCCACTGTGGGGCAAAGTGTGGAGATTGGTGTGTGTGGTCAGGACTGGTTATTTTATGGGAAACAGTTGACTTTGAAAGGGAAAAGAAATGTCATGTGACAGAATATAAAACCCAAATCACTCTTTTCTCTTACAAAATTAAATCTTCTAAAAGGAACTTTGTTTTTACCCTTAGTGGATAAACCTCTTGAGATTGTTGCTGTCAAAATACCCAACAAATGAACTGCTTATTTGAGTCACTACTTACATGTTACAGCTTCACTTCTCCTGAAAATCAATTGGCTAAGATGAAAGAAAGATTTTTGTATCATTTGGGAAAAAGAAACTAAATTATTGGGAGTATGTGGGACCTGTTCATTCTAGACTGTGGCTCTGGAGACAGACAAGGGTGATCATAGTTGAAAATTAGAATGGGTTTTTTTGGCAGCTAGAGAAGTAGATGAAAGGACAGAAAGAGGTGGACAAAAGGGTTTTAATTTGAAATCATGTCTGCCAAAACAGAATTCAATGTATTTCTTTTCCCCACCTAAGTATATTTTTTCAGGAAGGTTTGAGGAAATTTTTACAGGGAGAGGGAGGTGGTTATAAACCTATGCTTGCTGCCTCATCTACTTTTTGATCCCATATAAGTCCATAAATTTTGATCACTTAAAAATCTCTGGGTTGTAAGCTAGGTTTAGTAAAGCAGCCTTCTTGACATTTCAGTGTAGAATCTGGATGATAAATAGAACTGAGAAGTGCTTTTTACAATTTTTGAACAGGGTGCAGTTTTGGGCAATTAGAGGCTTAGTGTGGTGTCCAGTCTTTCAAATGGAATGACGCCCTTTACATGGTGTGTAGGTGTGACTAGTTGCATGCTCTGCAATATTTTACAAATGAGTGTCCAAGCTTTGACTCACAATTTTTCATTGGAGCTGTTGTGTGAGGCTATTCCATTCTGAGGGTATATTGTGGCTTGTTTAGCCAGAGATAGTATCCTAAACTCCTGTTTATGGGAAATGCATGACTCAAAATTTGATTCTCCATGCCCAACAAAGAGATGCCATGTATGACCTACTCTCAAAGGGGAATTAAAAATATAAATCAGGATCATACTGAAAATGTTTTAGTTCTTAACCCAAGGCTGTTGAAAAGAAACTCAGGCATTGCTTTGTGGTCATCATGATTTTTTTCTGTTACTGTTGAGGTCTCTCAATGTTGAAGCCATAGGAGACAAAAATAAACCTTACACTTGGCCTACCCCAGAAGCTTACCCTAGTTTTAGCAGGTTTATTTCACTTTAATCTGACAATTTTTTTTTTTTTTACATACAGGTATTGTAGAGTAGAAGGAGGATGGAAGAAAGTATATAGGTGTATGATTTAGTCCTGATTTTGTTGTTGGCTGTGGTTAAAGAGAAATGGCCTTTCTCCGTTACTTGTCAGGGGGAGCACATTGGTCTCTTGTCTTCCATGATTCAACACTTTGGGCAAAACCCATTCCATCAGCAGGGCCTGTGATGGTGGATTAATGCAAATCAGTGCCCACAGCTGAGGAGCCTAAAAGCCCAACACAATGCAGGCTCTTCCTGCCCCTTTCCATACACAGGGCTTTATGGAAGGGGCAGCACCTGTGTGAGACAAGCAAGTTGACACAGGGCAGGGGCTAGCTGGAATCCTACATTAGGTCAAAGAGTGATGGGGCCTGTGATGCTGTAGGGTAAATAAAAAGTATCAGGCTTTTCTGCCCTCCTGCCATTAGGATTGATGATGGAAACTTGCGGTCCTGAGTGCATCCCTGATGACGGGCACCTGGAATAGGGTGTGGGCATACGTAGATGGGATTCACCTGGGCTAAGACTGGGCTTATAAGGGTGGTGTCACAGGGACGCCAGTATAGCAGAAGCAGAGAGAACGCGAAAGAAGGCCGGAGAGCCCAGAAAGAGTGAAGACTTGCTGGGGGACCCCGGTACCCGTTGCCAGCTGTATACCTGGTAAATCCCAATAAAAGCCTGAAAAGCCACTGAGGGCTCCAGGACTGCTCCTTTACCCTGTCTGCTCCGGTCATAGAGAACCTGCCCTGTGTCATTCCTGCCACTACAGATGCCTTCTAAAGAGGTCAGCTGCTGTTACCCTGCAGGAACAGATGCCTATTTTCCCAGAGCCTGGGATTTTTCAAGAGATGCCAGAAAGGTTGATTTTCATATCAACTTTCTTAATTGTTTAAATACAGTGTAGGCCAAACAAAACACATCTTGACCCTCTGGCTGTTAGTTTGCAGTCCTTGTATAAGAATGTGTTGCCTTGGCTGTGGGTTCCTTAATCAGGAAACATCTAACTTCCTTTTCTCCTTGCTTTTGTCAGGCTTGCTAGAAAGCAGCACTCGACTAAAACCCCATGAAGCCCAGAACTACAGAAAGAAGGCTTTGTGGGTCTCCTGGTTCTCCATTATTGTTACACTGGCCCTGGCGGTGGCTGCCTTCAGTGAGTATCTGGAGCCTTGCTGATCGATACCTGCTGGTGTTGCCTGTTTTATTCTCTGATTCCTGCGGGATGTGCTTTTGCTTTTAGTTGACTGTTATTGATGAGTAAATTTTTTTTAGCTGGTTCAATAGTCAGGGTACTTATAAATTAGTCAAATGGCTTCGTTTCTCTGCAGAGGGATGAGGTGGTTAAGAAGAAATGGAGAGCAGTACTGGGAACCTTGGCTCTCATCAGTATGCAGGTTTGTGGAAGTGGATTCTGGCTGTCAGCTGAATAGTGAAAATATTCTCTTGGTGGATAACTTCAGCTTGGGCTGACATGTGACAAATCTATATCCTTGAGATTCATATTTTGAGCCTGATGCAACCAGATGAGTGCAATATTGTAGTACATTCTCTCCTTTACCCTTAGTATACCTCTGCAAGGTTTAAATTAAAATCATATACATGAAAGAAAGAAGGGCGGGTCCTCAGTCAAGTTTCCCTGGCCACAGAAATAAAAGCATTTATTACAATCAAAAAAAATGAAGAGAGCTGGACACTTTCTCCCTGTGGCAGCCCTATGCCATACGTTTTTTTTCAGTTAACGTTTGCAAGTTGTAGAAATGCACACATCTATTCTTATTAATTGTGCGATAATTCAGAAATTTAAACAATGACATTCCGCTTCAGCTTAACCTAGGTAGAAAACACTGTTTTGTTTTTTTAAATGATGGAAGAGAAATGTATTTTGCACATTTTGTGGTAATTTATTACCTTAACAGATAGATCTGTCTCCTAAGTGATAATTACCATATAGTGTGTCTGGTGAAAACACTCAGAGTTGGAGAAAAGACTGTCCATTTGAATATATAGCTTTGTTTGTGTGGTTCATAATTCTGTTTTGCATATTTAGATCTGCTGGAAGTTGGTCTTGGCTCCCAAGAGGGAATATTAGAATTTGACCAAATGCTCTCTCTAAAACTAGGCATAAATTACTTGAAGCAATTTTTATGGGAAACACTGTATCACATCTTGGCTCTAAAAAAAAAAAGCCAAACATTTAGAAGCGCAGGGTAAAGCTTTTTAGAGTCTAAACGTATACCAGTAAGCCAGAAATCTAATCAAATTCTGATTCCTGAAAATAGCTACTTCTTCCTCTCTCTTTTTTTATGCTGAAACAAGAATAACAAGCCAGATTGATATCCCTGGAGGATAATTTGGTTGTGGTGGCTGGTGGTGGGCTCTGGATATGACACCATAATTTACATATGTAAAGAAAGAGGAATGGAATGAAGAGAGGCGAATTACAAATAGAATAATAGTTACTCAGCTATTTCTGTGAGTCTAATAAAGCTGTTACAACTTTATGTTGTGGGTGTTCGAATAAGGACCCAAATGTGAAGAAATACTGAGCATGTCTTTGGGAGAATATTACATTTGATATACATAATCTCATAATAGGGAAAGATTATGAGGAAATTTTGGTTTCACATGTTATGCCTGATCAATTGAGTTATATTGAAAATTTTGTTCCATTTCCTTTAATAAGAAAAGACTGCTGCATAATGCATACGGAATTAGGATGTTGCTTTGTGAAAAGGGTTTCTTCTTTTTAAAATGACGCTTTTACCCCTTTACTGTAGCAAGTATCTAATCAACTTCTTGCCCATAAAATGTTGGCATTGGCATATATTACCATGATCTGTGTTATTTTCTATAGTACATTCAATTTGTTCCCAAGTTGCTTTTTGTTCCAGTTTAGTTAAGACCAAAAATGTAGATGATGAGTGATATTTTTTTCTCATTTTAACTATACAGGAGGGTGTGTGTGTTTTATGTTTATTTTATATATATTTATTACATCATCTTTCATTTTTGTACAATGTATGATTTCCTGTGAAATTCCCATCACCAAGTCACCCCTGCACCATCACCCCCGCACCATCACCCCTGCACAACCCATGTGGTCTTTGGTAGTTTCCTTAGGGTTGTTGGTTTTACTCTTTATTTTCCTAAATGTATTTACAGAGTGCAATATTTAAAATCCCTCCTAAAGTATCATTTTATGTTGACAGACTCATACATTTCTTTTTTTAAAAGGTTTATTTATGCATACAAGAACCGGGGTACAGGCCAGAGGTGTGGGGGGGGGTTGAGAGCATTTACCAGAGACAGAGTGGGGAACAGATCAGGCAGACTGACTGAAATACACTGCTGAGGGGAGCAGTGGAGAGACAGGAGAGGTCTGCTGCACTATGTGGGTAGCTCCTTGGCTGGTTTGAGATTGAACTTGTGCTACAGAGGCTGCGTATAGCTTCACAGTGCTGTGCTTCTTGCACCACCAGGGAGGCTCTATTTTCCTTCAGCGTTTTGAATAGAAAGAAAATCAATAGGGATTAAGCACCATAAACTTACATTGGAAGTTATGTTTAAGTTAGCACCTAAAGGAGAATTGTAAGTTTCAGAAATAGCAATGAATATATTTTTTAAAAAGTGTCACAAGTAGTCTCAGTCTTATTCTCCAAGGAAGCAGGTGACAGAGATGGTATAATGTGGCTTGGTAAATCTCTTTCCTTTCCAATGAAACGGTTAGGTTGAACCAGATAGTGGTTTTTTTGTTTTGTTTTTTTTTTTTAAAGAGAATTTCTTTGCAATTACATGTGTTGCTTTGAGGAGCAGAGAAGTTTTTGGAGTGTGTGTGCATATGTGGGGAAAGCGTGATAATCATAGTGAAGAAAAGACTGTATTTATCATCACTTGTCTTCTTGCTATTGCTGGATGATAAATTCTTGGGGGCAGGAAGAACATCCATCCTTTTCTGGAATAGACACTCAAGATTAAGTGAATGAATAAGAAAGATTAAGAAATTTCATCTGAAGATTTGTTTACATACTAGTCTCATTTATTTGGTAAACAATTGAAACAATTGGATCATGCTTATGGTCACTCACTCTCTAAAGATAATGTCTTGCTTCTGCATCTACTGTGGTCAGTTGACATTCCTACCTTCACTCCCTCACCTGCCATTTTTTATTTAATTATGGATGCTGATCTTTAATTTGAAGCACTATTGTCTCTTTTGTCTTTGGAAATAAAAAGGATAGATTTATTTACATTTGGGGGATATCTCTGATATCTCTTTTCTCAGTCAACTAGAAGATTCATATGGGCATAGTATGTATGTTGCAAATAATAATTGTTCTTCCTTCATTTCTGGTAAGCCCCCAGGCTTAATGCTGTGTTTTCTTGAATTAGTTGTTTCTAAAAGACCTCATGAAAGAAACTAGCCTTGGCCAGTATTACTAAGTTACCTGTATGTATAAATTAGTTGTGTGTGTGACTGTGGGTGACATTCCTGTGTCTGATGGAGTTTGAAAAATGAGGCAAACTTTCAAAGTTTGTGACTTGAAAGTATTTTGAAAGGAACATGTGCTTTGAAGGAAGATGAACTATTTTTGATAATGCTTGGTAATAGTGATTTTTGGATCTGTTCAAATGCTGATATAAAACCAGATGGTAATACATCTTGAATATTTCAGAGGGAGTCCTCGTTTGGTTTTAAAATTGCTTCTGTTTATAATCGGTAGGCAGCATGGAAAATGGCAATCCTGTTATGAACAAACCTTTAAAAAATCTGTTTTAATAATGAGGCTAGAAAGAGAACAGAATTTTGTTTTAAATTTAAAGTTTTTACATCACTGATATCTTTGCTAGAATGATTTAGGAAAATGAGTTGAGTTTTGAATGAGTGCAAGTTCATTTTTAGGCACTCAATACATGTTCTGTTCTGTGGGAAATGAAGATGTATTTGAAATTTTCTCAGGAGAAAGCCTTTCCTAAGACACACAGCTCCTATTTAAAAAAAAAAAAAGGTACTCCTAAGCAAGCTTTTCTCAGAAAAAGCTCACTCAAAAATTTAGTGAATCAATGGATTTAAGAATGAGAAAAACTTCTGAAAGGAGTCACTTTCTTTTTGTATTTGGAGGTTTGGTTGCCAGTGCCTTGTGTCTTTTTAAAGACCTTTTTTTTGGTGCGTATACAAGCCTGTATATGGTGCCTGTATGCACTTCTGCTACTTCTTTAGAGATGATGTCTTACAGTGTTCTATCTTTACTGGTCTGTCAGAGATAGTATAGGCCTCCTCAAAAGCTACTATTTTCATAGTTTTGTACAAAGTGAAATTGGAAGTGGAGAATCTTCAGGAGCAACCTCCCAACCTCTGACTGGCTGCCATTGTTTAACCTGGTGACACAGTGAGGGGGATGTGGGCAGGAAGTCTGTGAGCCACATCCTGGGGGTATTTTGTGGGATAATTTCTCCTTGTAAGTGTGCTGGGGAAATGATAACTATGGAGGCTGCTCTGAGGATGGAAACCAGTGGGGAGGCACAGGCTGAAAGTGTTTTGGGAACCTCACCCTATTGACACTTCCTGCTCTGGGATCCTGTCTCCTTGTGGTCATATCATCAAATATTCTGTGCCTGTCACCCCCACAACCCTAAGCTGCTAGCTCACTGTAACACAGGGAATCAGACTAGCATTTTAGTCAGGCCCCTATTCATACTGTGAGGCCCCTCATGATCTTGCTTCCTCCTTCCTGGCTGACTCATCTCCCCCATCTCTCAGCTTATTGCCACCTTAGCTCACAAATGCTCCTTGTAGTCTCCAAATGTTGCATCCTGCTCTTTGCCCTAGACCCAGGCACTGCCTCGTCCCTTGGGTTCAAATGTCTTTTGTTCCTGATCCCAAGCCTTGATTTTCTAGCTCACGCTTACTTATGTCTCCAAGTGAAGATGCAAGATCACCTCTTCCAGGAAGCCTTTCCTGGTCCTCCAGACTGATTTAAATGCCCCCTTTGTTCCTCTAGTCTCATGGATATCTGTGAATCAGAAACTTCACACAAAACACTTGAATCATTGCATTATTGCTTTTTGCACAAAGGCGTACTCCAAGGCAGAATTCCTATTTTCTCCAGGCTAGTCCCAGCCCATAACTCAGATGTTGGCTGGACTGGGGTGATT